CTCCAATGGCCGCCGCAGCCAGCGCGCTGCGGCCGGCGCACCGCGCTGATCCGAAACCAGGAGCCAGGTGCTTCTCCTGGTCTCCCATGTGGGTGCAGGGCCCAAGCAATTGGGCCATCCTCCACTGCACTCCCTGGCCACAGCAGAGAGCTGGCCTGGAAGAGGGGCAACCGGGACAGAATCGGCGCCCCAACCAGGACTAGAACCCGGTGTGCCGGCGCTGCAAGGTGGAGGATTAGCCTAGTGAGCTGCGGCGCCGGCCACCCCTTGGGATCTTATGCACTGGATCTTCTCAATGCCTGCGGGGCACCGGAAGATTGCAGGGTGAGGAAGGTGGAGTGTAGACCAGGTCTGCCTCATGCAAGAGGCCTAGCAGTAGCCGCAGCACATCCCACAATCGGGAACCAGCAGAACTGACGGGAACCGCAATGCTAGATGGCGTTGCCTCAGCCACCGGGGTCCTGCCTCAGTTGCCCTACCCCAAATCCTGATGTCCTGGCTGAGGCTCTGACTCTCTGCCCATGCCAGTCTCCTTCCAATCCCCTATCCCAGGGGCTGGGCTTAGCCTTGGACCCTCAGAGGCTAGCAGGGGTCCTGTGGACATCCAATGCAGCACACTGTTCCCTGGGTCGGCCTGCCTGCCTTCAGCTCAGTTCAGAGAGCTCTTTTATGGAAAGGAAAAATCAGGCAGCTTTATCTTTTTAAAGGTTCTTAAATTTTTGTTTGTTTACTTTCATTTTATTTGAAAGGCAAAGACACAGATCTTCCATCCACTAGTCTATTCTCCAAATGTCTACAACAGCCAGGTCTGGGTTGGGTGAAAGTCAGGAGCCAGAAATTCAATCCAGGTCTCTCACATCATTGAAAGGGACCCAAGTGCTCGATCTGTCACCTGCTACCTCTGGGGTCTGCAGTATCAGGAAGCTGGAAGTGGACAGAGAGCCAGGACTCGAACCCACACTCTGATGTCAGAAGTGGGGCTCTCAGGCAGGGTCTTCATTGCCACACTAAATGCCTGCCCCAAAACTCTTTTTTTTAGATGCTTTTCAAATTTAGATTCAGACTCCTTAACGAAAAATTAGATGAATTTTCTATGAAATAGTAAATGTGCATCACAAAAGCACTGTAACAATAATAATCAGAAGTCTCATCATTATAGCTTACTCTGTCAGCACAGTTCTAAATATTTTACACATTATATATTCATTTAATCTTTGCAACAACCCTATGAGATGATAACTACCATCCCCATTTTTAAAAAGATTTCTTTTATTTATTTGAAAGATTTCTTTATTATTCTACAGAGAGAGGAAGAAACAGAGAGAGATGTCTTCCATCCACTGGTTCACTCCCCAGATGGCCACAATGGCCAAGATAAGTTGATCCAAAGCCAGGAGCCAGGAGCTTCTTCTTGGTCTCCCATGTAGGTGCAAAGGCCCAAGGACTTGGCCCATCCTTTGTTGCTTTCCCGGGCAAGTTAGCAAGGATTTAGATCGGGAGCGGAGCAGCCGGGACTTGAATTGGCACCCATATGGGATGCCGGCACTGCAGCTGGGGCTTTAAACCATTGCACCACGGCACCAGCCCCGACCATCACCATTTTAAGATGAGAAAATTGAAGCATAGAGAAGCTAACTGACTTGCCCAAGGTCACAGAAACAAGAAACGATGGAGCCAAGACTCTAATCGGGGTGGTTTGGCTGCAGTCTGTGCCGTAAGCAGCCGTCGTGCTCAGAAGAGCCCTCACAGTTTAGGAAAGGGGCTCCTTCAGAAGCGTTGCTTTCTCATGTTCTGAGAGCTTGGTGTTCCTTCATTGTTAGGAATCTCCGGGGGCCAGCGCTATGGGTTAAAGCCCCAGGTGCAGTGCCAGCATCCCATATGGGTGCCGGTTCAAGTCCGGGCTGCTGCACTTCCGAGCCAGCTCCCTACTAATGCACCTGGGAAATCAGTGGAGGATGGCCTGAGTCCTTGGGTCCCTGCATCAGTGTGGGAGTCTCAGAAGAAGCTCCTGGCTCCTGGCTTCCGATCAGCTCAGCTCCAGCACTTACAGCCATCTGGCAAGTGAAACCAGCAGGTGGAAGACCTCTCTCTCTGTGTAACTTTCTTTCAAATAAATAAATTAAAAAAAAAAATCTTCATAGGTAACTTAGCCACAGCCCTTTGCCAGAACATCCCGTAGTAAGTGATTCTAGTAAGTATCACATATGTTCTGGGTCACTGTTTCAGATTTCGTGAGGCTTAGAATAAATATGCCTGGGGCAGGCATTTGACCTAGCATTAGGACACCTGCATCCCATATCAGAGCGCTGGGGTTCGAGTCCCAGCACCAGGTTCTGATTCCAGCTTTCTGCTAATGGGGACCCTGAGAGGCAGCAGCGATGACTCAAGTAGTTGGGTTCCTGCTACTCATGTGAGAGACATGGATTGAATTCTGGCTCCTGGCTTTGGACCCCCAGCCATTGTGGGCATTTAGGAAGTGAGCTAGTGGATAAGATCTGCCTCTCAAACTAATTAATTACTTAAAAAAAAAAAAAAGGAGCTTTACCTGCTAGTGCACCTGGGAAGACAGATGATGGCCAACTACTTAGGTCCCTTCCACCCAAGTGGGAGACCCAGATGGAGTTCTGGACTCCTGGCTTCAGCCTGGCCCAGCCCCAGCCATTGTAGCTATTTGAAGAGTGAACCAGCAGATGGATCTCTGTGTCTCCCTCTCTCTCTCTAATGCTGCCTTTCAAATACATATACATATACATATAATTATTTTTTTAAAGGGACTCAGGGCAGGTATTATAGCACAACAGGTTAAGCTGGCTCTTGGGACACCCGCATTTCATATCAGAGTGCAGATTTGAGTCCTGGCTGCTTTGCTTCTGATCCAACTTCTTGCTAATGCATCCTGGGAGGTGGCAGATGATGGCTCAAGTGCTCATGCTCCTGCCACCCATGTGGGAGACCCAGATGGAGTGTAGGCTCTGAGCTTAAACTTAGCCCAGGCTTGCATGTTATATGGCATTTGGGGGAGTGAACCAGTGGATAGGAAATCTCTCTTTCTGTTTGTCTCTCTCTGCCTTTCAAGTAGATGGAAGTAAATAAACTTTAAAAAAAAATACAAAGAAGCCCGTGTAAGAATTTTTAAAATTGGGTTGGCGCTGTGGCTCAGAGGGTTAAGCCACCACCTGCAATGCTGGCATCCCATGTGGGTGTGCCTGGGAAAAACAGAAGACGATCCAAGTGCTTGGGCCCCTGCTACCCACATGGTACATGCAGATGGAGTTCCAGGCTCCTGGCTTCAGCCTGGCCCAGTCCCAGCCATTGCAGTCATTTAGGGAGTGAACCAGCAGATGGAAGATTTCTCTGTTTCTCCTTCTGTAATTTTGCTTTTGAAATAAATAAATAAATCTTTTTTTTTTCTTTTTTTTTTTTTTTTTGTTTTTTTTGACAGGCAGAGTGGACAGTGAGAGAGAGAGACAGAGAGAAAGGTCTTCCTTTGCCGTTGGTTCACCCTCCAATGGCCGCCGCGGCCGGCGCGCTGCGGCCGGCGCGCTGCGGCCGGCGCACCGCGCTGATCCGATGGCAGGAGCCAGGAGCCAGGTGCTTTTCCTGGTCTCCCATGGGATGCAGGGCCCAAGCACCTGGGCCATCCTCCACTGCACTCCCTGGCCACAGCAGAGGGCTGGCCTGGAAGAGGGGCAACTGGGACAGAATCCGGCGCCCCGACTGGGACTAGAACCCGGTGTGCCGGCGCCGCTAGGCGGAGGATTAGCCTAGTGAGCCGCGGCGCCGGCCAATAAATCTTTTTTAAAAAAGGAGTTTTTAAAATATACAATAAATACACTTTATTGGAAGGCTAAAAGAGAACTTAGATTGCTCTGAAATGTTTAAATTCTTATAAGTAGAATATAATCATTTGTAAGACAGTTAACCAGTAAAATGTACCTTTACTTAACCAACATGTGCCTTCAGTGGTGGGTAGCCCCTGCCTCCTGGTACCCATAGCCTTGCATAAGAGCCTCAAGGGACGGGCTGCTAGCCGTGGGACCCTGAGGGGTGGCACTTCTGTGACGAGGCTGCAGAACACTGGGACTTCTGTCCTACTAGCTGTCACTTGGCCCTTTCACGTGCTTTCAGGAAGCAAGGGGATATGCTGGAAGGGCCCACGCGGCCAGGCACTGCAGCACACGGCTGAGGGCGAACAACGGAGACCTTAGGCTGACACCTAGCCAGCAGCCCTGGGATAGACCGCGACCCTGCAGACCCAACAGCTGTGCTCCGGCGCCCAGCACATGTCACATGTGTGTGTGACATCACACATGTGGACTGTTTTAAGTGCTCCCTAAGTTTGAGGGTAAGTTGTTATGCAGCCGTAGATAATATACTTTCTTTATCAAAATAATGATTTTTTTTTTTTTTTTTGAGAAGAGGCCAGACCAGCTATGGTGAAAGCTGGCTGGCCTCGGGGTCTGGGGGCTCCAAGCAAGGCTGGGGCCAGCAATGGCCTTGGACCTGGAAGATCTCAGACTTGGGAGCTGAGAGTTCTGCAAGCATGGGGGAAAATTAGAAATTATTAAACCATATGCACTAGCATAAAATAGGAGCGTAAAATAGGAGATACACTCTCTGGTTCCTACCTCAGTCTCCCCCAGTCCAGGACCCTTCAGGGCAGTGGGGACTCCAGGCTATGATTGAATAGCAGTGTTGTGTATGTGATGGTGGGAGGCCGGGTGGGCAGAGTCACACACCTTACAATCTATTCGGCCCCAAGGCGACTTAGGACAAGGACAACCTCATGCAGAGCTCTCTCAGGCAGGGCCAAGGCACCCTCATCAGACTGGGAAGCTGCTGAGACACCGCCATCAGATCGCCAGGCCCAGGAGGCTGAACTCCTCCCCAGTGTCTCTCCTGACCACCGCCCCCTACCTCCCAGCACAGGCCCCTGCCCAAAGGGAGGTCGGTGAAGAAGAGGACACCAGACAACAGAACAGAGAAACACACTTGTGAAGTTCCACTCTTGGCCCCAGTTTATTCATCCTGGGTTAGGCCAGGCAGCAGGTTCACACTCAGCATGCGGGAGCTACAGACACCAAGAGCCCAGGGTCCACATTTCACGCCCTCTCCCTGTACCTTTCCCCCACCCACTCCTCGGGATGGAACTCTTTTGAGATGGACAGCAAGATCCTCTATGCACGGCAGACATGGAGACTGAGGGCCAGTGGTGCCACGGCTGGTCCAACGGTGTAGCCTCACCCACAGCAACCTCAGATTCTCTCGGCTCCCAGGAGCAGAGCCGAGAGTTCAGCTACCTCAGTCGTTGGTCCTGCCCAAGACATGACCACTCAACAGCTCTCGGAGCCTCTGCTGGAGCCTGTCCCTGTTGAAAGGCCATCCAAGAGCTGCCCGAGGCTGGGCTGATGCTGCCTCCTGCCCACAGTCTCGCCCTGCAGAAAGGGACAACCCAATTAACAGGCAAACTGCGAAAGCCAGAGACGCACAGCAAGGCACCAGGCACAGAGGGGGCAGGGAGAGGTTTTTCCCCGACTGCCTTGGAACACCCACCTATTTCTTGCAAGCTTGTGAGCGCACGTTCCTTCTCGGCAGAAACTTAAGTCAATGCTTCGGTCGGTTAGGGACCTGCTATGTTAGAATTTCCACTCTCCTGTTCCTCAAAGGGCTCTGCCACTGTCATTTCCCTATCACCATGTCCAGTGTGTCCAATGGCAGAGCCCAAGAGGAATAGTCCCCAACCTTCCCTGGCACCTCCTGCCATGAGCTGCACCTTCCCGCTCCCAATTTCCTTCCCTCAAGCCAATTCTCCACCACTGCTCTGAAAAACTGTAGATAACATGCTATGGCAGGGGGCTGGTGTTGTGGCGTGGCGGGGTCAAGCTGTTGCCTGCAATGCTAGCATCCCATACGGGCGCCGGTTCAAGTCCCAACTGCTCCACTTCTGATCCAGCTCCCTGCAAATGCACCTGGGAAAGCATCAGAAAAACGGCGCAAGTCCCTGGGGCCCTGCAGCCACATGGGAGACCCAGAAGAAGCTCCTGGCTCCAGACAGGTGACTTAGGACAAGGACAATCTCATGCAGGGCTCTCTCAGGCAGGGCCAAGACACCCTCATCAGACTGGAAGCTGCTGAGAGACCACCATCAGATCGCCAGGCCCAGGAGGCTGAACTTGCCTTATGGCCATTTGGTGAATGATTCAGTGCACGGAGACCTCTCTCTCTTTCTGTAACACTGCCTTTCAAATAAATAAATAAATATTGTTACAAAATGCTGTGGTAGGCCAGAACAGCCTCTAAACCCCTCACAGCAAAGCCAGCATCAAGGACAGTGAGCGAGAAGAGCAAGGTATAGGATAAGTGAGGGGAAGAGATGAAGAGAAATGGTCTGGAAAATTCTAGGAGAATGGATCAGCCACAGATAGATGACAGCAGGGTACATCCTTCAACTGACAGCAGGCCAGCCATTTTTCATTGGGGGACAGTGAGACCCAGAGGAAAACAAAGGCTGGTGTAGGCCACGGGTAACACAGGATGTGTGCAGATGAAATCAGTAGGCACCTGCTCACCAGTCTGTCTGCAAATACATATGCACCCCGACATATAGGCCTGCACACACAGGGGTTCACTCACACACACCTAGCACATGCCTACACATTCACACACACACACACACATCTTGTGCATAAACATCCTCACTTATGCACATACACACGCTGTTGGGTACCTGTCCACACTTGCATATACAAATTCACTCCATTACATACATGCTACATACATGTTCATTCTTACATACTCACATGTAACAGCACACTCAAGCTCATTCACACATACCTGCACACACCCGTTTTATGTTAGCACATACACACTCATTCATTATGCTTACCCGCACTCAAGCTAGCAAATAATCAATATACTTATTTGTGCACAGCCACACACATGCCTGCAAACATACACATATATACCCTCGCACACTTGTGGGGGCACAGCCTTAGCCCTGGTCCTGGGGCCTAGATGGTGCTGCCTTCTGCTGGAAACGCCGGATAAGCTCCTTGCGATTGTCTAAGATGGTATCGAAGCTGTCCTGCAGCCGGGCCTGCTGGTCAACCAGCTGGTGCTGCAGGCCCCGGATCCACTGGAGCAGTGCCAGGCGCCGGTACATCACCAGGTGCACATGGTGCTTCTCCTTCTCCCGCTCTTTATAGCGCTCCTGAGCCTGCAGCTGTTGCACAGCCTGGGCCACGGAGGGCAGAAGAGGATCCGGGGGGCCCAGGCCTCGAGGGGTCCCACAGGCAGACTCAGGACTGCTGCTGCGGCTGTCGATACTCAGGGAGCTGCTGGTATAGCCGTTTGTCCTCCAGAGGGGAGCAGAGTGTGCTGGTGCCCCCCATCTTCTCAGGCTCAACCCCGGAATCTCTGCTCCCTCCGGGGGGCTGCGGACGCCCTCCTCGGGGGCTCTGGGAGCCTGGTTGTTGGAGGGCTGCTCGGGGGAGCTCCTCCTCAGGACGGGCTCCACGGTGCCTGGCATCCCGTGCCAGTTCTCATTGGCGTCCCTGGGATTTGCCATGAAGTTGGAGTTGCTGTCTGGTTGGGGCTGGCATACTCCGGGGGGCGGGCCCCCCAGGAACGGGCCCCCCTCAGCTAGCCCTGGCTCCATGGCGAACATCTGGTCTGCAAAGGGGAAGCAGAGAGAGTCACACAGGACAGAGCCACAGCAGCCTGGCCACAGGGCAGCAGGCACACGCCTGGCAGCTCCTTGTCATCCCCTCCCCTTGGCTGGGCTCGCACTGCCCCTGCTGGTCCCCACCTCCCTCACTGCTCCTTTGCAGTAGCCTGCACAGCGTGTTTTTCAGCGCTCCGAGGCAGGCTGCCTTTTCGTTCTACACGCTTCTCCCCAGATGACCCGGCTGTGGGCTGCAGCTTTGGGAATCATCATATGCTGGTAACTCTCCAATCTGTCTCCAGCCCAGATCCAACTGTTACCCAGCCCTGCAGCCACCCACAGGCCCTGGAAATCTCCCAGTCCCAGCCAGCTCCCATCTTCGTGTCCTCAGCAAGACGGCTCTGCTCCCTGTTCAGCCACCCCAGCCAGAGCCCGGAAGCATCCTGGAATAAGCATTTTCCTTCCGTCCCTCATCTCTTATCAATCACCAAATTCAGACAATTCTTCCTCTTCAATTTCGTTTGGCTCAGGCCATTTTTACCTGGACTAGTGCCACAGCCTTTTCACTAATCTCTCTTCCTGTGGCTAAACATGTAAATTTGGGGGCTCAACGTGGTTGCACAGCAGGTGAAGCTGTTGTGGCAATGCTGGCATCCCATATCAGAAAGCTGGTTCAAGTCCCAGCTGCTCTACTTCCAATCCAGTTTCCTGTTAATGCATCTGGGAAGGCCGTGGAAGATGGCCCAAGTACTTGGGCCCCTACCACTCACATAGGGACCAGGATGGAGTTCCTGGCTCCAGGCTTCAGCTTGGCCCAGCCCTGGCTGTTGCAGCCATTTGGAGAGTGAACTAGTAGACAGAAGATTGGTATTTCTCTCTTCTCTCTGTCACTGACTTTTTTTTTTTTTTTTTTTTTTTTGGACAGGCAGAGTGGACAGTGAGAGAGAGAGACAGAGAGAAAGGTCTTCCTTTTGCCGTTGGTTCACCCTCCAATGGCCGCCACGGCCGGCGCACCGCACTGATCTGATGGCAGGAGCCAGGTGCTTCTCCTGGTCTTCCATGGGGTGCAGGGCCCAAGCACCTGGGCCATCCTCCACTGCACTCCCTGGCCACAGCAGAGAGCTGGCCTGGAAGAGGGGCAACCGGGACAGAATCCGGCGCCCCCGACCGGGACTAGAACCCGGTGTGCCGGCACCGCAGGCAGAGGATTAGCCTAGTGAGCCGCGGCGCCGGCCATGTCACTTGCCTTTCAAATAAATAAATGAATTTTTTAAAAAAGATTTATTTAATTATTTGAAAGGCAGAGAGAGAGAGAGAGAGAGAGAGAGAGACACCTTCCATCCGCTGGTTCACTCCCCAGATGGCTGCAATGGCCGGAGCTGTGGCAATCTGAAGCCAGGAGCCAGGAGCTTCTTCCAGGTCACCCATGAGGGTGCAGGGGCCCAAGGCCTTGGGCCATCTTCCACTGCTTTCCCAGGCCACAGCAGAGAGCTGGATTGGAAGTGGAGCAGCCGGGTCTCAAACCAGCGCCCATATGGGATGCTGGCACTGCAGGCGGTGGCTTTACCCGCTATGCCACAATGCCAGCCCCATAAATAAATGAATTTTAAAATGCAAATTTAAAAATTGAGTGAGTACTGTTCCTGAACTCCTCTTAAAGATCTACATGGCCTAATGGCCCTGAGCACCCGCACCCTGCCTCCCATCACATCCGACTGCTCCAGGAGCTCAAGATCCACTATTGTTTGCGCTCCACTATGGCTCTGGCCTGCAGTGCCTGCCTCTCCCTTCCCCTCTAAGCTCCTCCCTCTCCACCCGGCAAATGCTCTGAGGCCTGCCTGAGAATCCCCCCTCCATCTGCCCCGCCCTTAATAAATGTAAACACAGTTCCTCATGCCTTCCTCCAGCTCCCCCCATCACGCTCCTGGAGCAAGCACTGAGGTGCCACGCCCGATGCGCCATCCCTCTTCCCCCACCACCTGCATCCTGGCCCTAGTTTGCCCCATCCGGAGTTCCAGGAGGGAGTGCAAAGGGCATCCCTCTTCCTAGCAGGGCTTCCACCAAAATCCCGGTCTGAACTGAGAAGAGGTTTCTCCCGACCACGACCACACACTTACTCCCAGGACAGGGAAACCGGAGGGTCACTAAGGGGTACAAGGTAAGGGCAGCAGGCCCCAGGGGGACCCCTAAGGTGGCACAGGCTCTTCCCACAGTTGGGAGAGGGCAGAAGGCCTGGAAGGATCCAGTGGGAACGATTCCCGCGGTGACCTGCGGACCCCCAGGCCTCCCACCAAAGTGTGCACTTAGGTGCCTGGAGCCTCCCCCGAGTCTTTTTCCTAAGCAGGCTGGAATGGGCTGGTGGTGGCGCTGAGGATCCTGGGTTCTCAGCGATAGTAAAATGGGGATCAGACCCCGGCCCCACCCCCAGTTAATCCGCAATTTGCCAGGGCCGGGAGCAGCGGCGGCCGCCCTTCCTTCCTGGCGCTGCCGGAGACGTCCCCCGGGGAATAGGGCAGAGGCCGTCCCCGCAGAGCTCCGCGGAGGGGCCGCTGGGCGCGGGCTGCAGCCCCCAGCCCCCGGCCCCCGCGGCGGGGCCCCCAGTCCTCCCCCTCGGCCCGGACTCACGGCCTGGAGGCGCCCGCTCCGGCGCAGCTGGCTCTGGTTCCGGCGCGCCCCGCTCGGCCTGGGGGTGTCTCGCCCGGGCTTTCCCGCGGCCCGGGCCCGGACTGCGGCTGCTGGCGGCGTCTGCGCGGCGGGGCGGGGTTGGGGCGGCCCACGTGGGCCGGTTCGGTTCTGCGTGGGAGCCTTGCGCGGGGCCCCTGCGCCGCAGCCGCCTCCCCCGCGCCGGCTGCTCAAGGCCAGGCCTTCCAGGTCTGGCTGTCGCCTAACGGCGCTCGCTGGGCCCCTGCTTCCTCGAGGCTGTGGCACGCACCGCAGCCTCTGCCTGAAATGTTGTCTCCTGGCTAGGCTTCCCCACATTTCAGATCTGAGAAACCTTCTGTGATCCCCGAGACAAGACTGGTCCCCCGCTTTGTATCATCTCAGAGCACTTATGTTCCTTTGATCAAAATCTGGAATTTTATATTAATTGTGTGCACATCTGATTCATCATTAATGAAAGCTACTTTAAAAAATTATTTAGGGGCCTCAGCGGCCATTTGGGGAGTGAACCAACGGAAGGAAGACCTTTCTGTCTCTCACTATCATTCTGTCAAATAAATTAAAAAAAAATTTAAAAAGTGCACGCCCCATATAAAAAATTATTTATGTATTTGAAAGGCAGAGTTCCAGAGAGGGAGAGAAGAGATCCAGCCCCCAAATGGCCGTGGCCACAATGGTGGAGCCAGGAGCCTGAAACTCTATTTGGGTCTGCCACTTGAGTGGCAGGGGTCCAAGCCCTTGGGACGTCCTTTGCTGCTTTCCCAGGTACATTAGCAGGGAGCCTGATTTGAAGTGGAGCAGCAGGGACTCCGCCAGCCTTCCTATGGATCTTGGCATTGCAGGCCTGGGCTTACCCCACTGCGCCACAAAGCCAGACTGA